CGCGGTTCTCGGTGCTCTTTCTTTTAGACATTTTGACACTTTTATTAAAATGAAGTTATCTGTTTTTTATAGAGTCAGAACTAGCTGAATACGGAGATTTACTTCTTCATTCTGAAATTCGTTGGTTAAGTGCTGGAAAATGTTTAGTTCGTTTTTTTGCACTCAGAAAAGAACTTGCCGAGTCTTTGAGTAAAGAAATCAAATCGGATACTACCAAATTCGTAAAAAACTACAGGATCCATCTTTTTTATCAGAATTGGCATTTCTAACGGACTTTACAAATCACTTGAATAATTTAAATTTAAATTTGCAAGGGAAAGGTCGCACTATTTCAGATATGCTGGCAAATATTAATGGATTCCGAAGCAAACTTACATTATTTAAATGCCAATTAAACAACGAAAATGTTTGCCATTTTCCAAGTTGCTCTGAACTGAAAAAAGAGTTCAAGGAAATAAAATTCTCAAGATTTACTTCCGTTATTTCTGAAGTTTCCGATCAATTCGACCGTCGTTTTCAAGATTTTAAATCTATAGAAACAGATTTAATTTTTTACAATAACCCAATGAAAATAAATGTTCAGTGCGTTAAAAGTGATCTTCAAGAAGAAGTGTGCAATCTACAAAACGATCCATTTATGCTATCGAGAACGGAGACAGACTCAAAAATTTTTGAAGTTATGCCACAAGATCGGTATCCGAAACTCATTGACTTTGCACTTTATATAAAATCATTATTCGCATCAACTTACATCTGTGAAAGCACGTTTTCTATTATGAAGCACATCAAATCTGCTCAACGTTGTTCGCCGTCCAATGAAGTGTTAGAACATCAACTTCGTCTCGCTTCAACGCAAATTAATATTGACATTGAAGAATTTATTAGCAATACTAAGCGCATCCATTTGTCACATTAATATTTTCATTCCTCATTTTATTCACGATACATTCACTACGTCGTTAACATCGAAATTTCCAAAAATTTACGATGGCCCCGCAATCTCGCACGATGGGCTATCTACGGTCCTGACAGACGTCGGTCGGTTCTGCCGGCTGACGCGTTGGAGGGAGAAGCGTCCGAAGTAGGGGTCGGCTCGTGAGCCACATTTCGTCAGCCCTGATCTACATTAACCGTGAGGTCGTTCCGATACGTATTATTATAAAATACCTATGAACATGGCAGCTATTAACATAACATATAAAATTGACAGGTTAAACGCTGACAATTATAGAACATGGAAATTTTCAATGAAGATGTTACTAATTCAGAGAGAATTATGGTCATACGTGAATGGAACAGCTGAGTTAAAGCCGGAAGCAAGTGCGGCTGAGAAACAAGCATTCAAATCTAAAGATGAAAAGGCTTTATCTACATTAGCGTTAGCCATCGATCCAGATCAACAAATCCATATAGTGGGTTGCAAAACTTCGACTGAAGCATGGGCCGTATTAGAACAAGTCTACGAACCCAAATCGAGGCAAAGGATTATGCAACTAAAACGACAATTCGTAAGAATTAGATTAAGGCTGCGTTCGGTTTGGGCGCTTACACGTTTAAAGCGCTTATAAGCGTTACTCACATCGTTCGCTTTGGAGATGTTAGCTATTGAGACAAGTCATCGCATTTAAATTAGGCGACAAACGCGGGGCGAGAGCGAGAAAAAAAAAAAGGAATCGAGTCGAGCGTCGGCCGAACGGTACGGAGACACACGAGCAATTCGAGTGTCCTTTCATAGAAGTCAGTTGCGAGCGAACCATTGTTCAGAAAGCACGTAGTGGTTCTCAATAAAGAAAAGTTCACTCTCTCATTTAGAGACAAACACAAATTAGCCACGATCAACTTCCTCTCTCCTTTCGCGAGACCATCCTTGATATCAACGACCTCAACATTAGTGCTCACAAATCGACTAATGACGTCATCGTGACGTCATAATTTCTGCTTACAAACGCTTATTTCTACGAGGTAGGGCAGTGTGAGCGCGAGTAAGCGTAAGCGCTGGTAAACGCTTATGTTTATTTCGGAACGCAATTGTAGCGAAACACATGAGAAGATGGCTTTCAATAGAACAGAATTTACACAAATATATTTAAAAGATGCAGAAACCAATCGCGTGTACACAATAAATGTAACACCGGTAGAAGCAATGCGCTTAGAAACTGGTAAGTTTATTAATATTTTCAAAGTCATTACTGTGAAATATTTGAAGGTTATGAATCATTTTTTTCCCCTAATTTCTATTTTATCATTATTATACAATTATAGTTATTTTTTTTATTTTTAGATCTTGCTTTCGCAACATTAAAATTAAATGAAATAAAAAAGAAACATGGTAAATATAACAAGTGGGATGGATTTTTTTTAAAGAAAATATTGTAATAAATTTTTTATAATTATTTTTATTTAGAAAACAATAACATTATTGACAACCATGAAGAGATATTACAGGGAGAGGAGATATTTCAGAAAGAGGGGACACATCAGAATATAAATGAAGAAATTAGAGGCACTTTTAATAATTTTTCTAAATAATATATAATTTAGTATATAATTTCAGATATTTCTTTAAACATATTTATTTTTACAGTTTTCAAATGGCCTCATGAGGCGATTCTTCTATTAATAGAAGAATATAATTTGAGACAGAACGATTTAAGTTCTGGAAAAATGTCGCAAAAAAAAGTATGGTCCTTAATTGCAACCGAATTAGTGAAACATGGTTACAATGTAACAGGACCACAGTGTTTGTCAAAGTTTTCTGGATTAAAACGAACATATAAAACTGTCAAAGACCATAATAATAAGTCTGGCAATGGAACAAGAAAATGGCCATATTTATCTGTAAGTAATTATTTTAGAAACAACTGATATTTAATTTGCTAATAACAGTCTTTTTTCAGCATATGGAGAATTTATTAGGCTCGAAGCCATTTATGTCACCGGTAAGTACTATATCCTCAACAGGGAAAGGATCTCAATCACCATCAGAATGCAGTACATCTAGTATTGACAGTTGTTTGGAGACTGAAGAAAAGTCAACACGTAGTAAGTTAATACCTTTATTCTAAATACAGAATCGAAAATATTAGTTATATGTACAATGTTAATATACAATGTTGTTACACGCTCAATAATTTGTTTTATTTAGAGAAATTTCGGCAATTATATAATCTAGAAACATTAATAGAAGATTTAAAAGAAAATAGGAAGATGGGAGAAGAAGCCATGGAAAGAAGACATCAAGAAAACATAGAAATGCGCAAGAGACTTCTCGATTCTTTTGAAAAAATAGTAGATATTTTAAGTAAAAAGTAATTTTTGGTTATATGTATTTTAAATTAGATGATTATTTGTTTTTCTTTTTTTAATTGATAATTTTTCTTTTTAAATAATTGACATTCAAAAGTGCAAATATTTTCGTTATTATTAAAATCCATTTAGGGTGTGAAATGTGAGCTAGTCTTTTATTTTATAAAGTATGTGTATTTCCGTAAAAGAAGTTATGTTGTGTTACCCATATCATAAGATATGCAAATATTTAGATATCTAGATATATATATATATAGAGATATACATATATTTTATACAAACGTTATTTTTGTACTATGCTTTATTCGTTATAAAGTATAATAAAGTTTATATACAAAGTATAAATGTTTTATTAGTAATATTGTACACTTTACGCATTTTGTATTATTAAATTATCACAAATTCGATCTCGTTTTATGTAGCCTGCATTGTTACTTCTTCTTTGATAAATTAATTGTTTATTATTGTCAGCTTCTAAAATATCTGGTTCTATAATAGGAAAGTCATCATTTTGCAGGAAACAGATATTGTGCAGAACACAACATGAAATAATAAACTCTGGAATTAAGTCGACCCGTTCCATATCAAGAAGTGATAGCAAACTTCGAAATCTTCCTTTTAACAATCCGAATGCTCGTTCAATCGAAATTCTGGCAGATGAATGGCAAAAATTATAATTCTTTTGTCTAACTATGAGATGTCCGTTATCATGAAATGGTGTCATTAAGTGTTCATGTATTGTGTATGCTGCATCGCCCAATATATGGCTATCATTAGGAAATTTTTCTGCGTCTTCTAAGTAATTATTAATTTCAGATAAACGAAACACTCTTTGGTCATGTACAGAACCAACATGTCCAGCAAGACAGTGAATAAATTGGCCCGTATGATCACTAACAGCCTGTTAAAAATACATAAAAAATTGTAATTATTTAAATAATTATATTATATAAAAATGTCATTATATTATAATAACATGAATTACCTGTAAATGTATACTATGATGATTTTTCTATTAACGTAACATTCAGGATTGACATGTGGTGCTTTTATATTTATATGTGTGCCGTCGATTGCTCCTATTACTCTAGGAAAAGCGCTAGTTGCAGCAAATCCTCTCATAATTTCTTCTGCTCTATGACCTTCCGGCCATGTAATAAAACGAGGAGTTAATTTAATTAATGCTTTTGTCACTTTTCTTACAGCATTTAACGCAGTGGCTCTTGCAACATTAAATTTCTCACAAATGGATCTGTATATAATTTAAATATTAAATATTAAGCAACGAAAAACTATATGCACACACAAGGATAAATTAAAAATTAAAAGAATAATGTAATGATAATATTAATAACATACCGATATGAATCTGGAGTAGCCATTTTCCATATAGCGATAAAAAATTGTTTTTCAGGTGATATTGTTTTACGTCCAGATCTTGATCTTAATAATGTAGGTTTTATAATTTGTAAAATGTAATTAAATGTTGCTCGTTTCATTCTAAAAAAATAGGTTTATTATTTTAGGAATCAAACGCAAAAATTATTAACCATTTTAATTTAAATATATTATAAATATGCATAAATATTTTTCATAAATATTGTTCAGCTTAGCAGCGTTTTTAGGGATTGCACAAGCCTGAAATGTGATTTAAATTGTTCATCATTATAACATGGTATGACGTTTTCTACATATCCTTGCAGTCGTTTTATGGGCCTTTTAATAGAAGGTTTGCTTAGAAACATTATAACATTTTCGAATTCCTTGTTATATGAATTTTCATGTTCTTCCTCATAGAATAATAATTCTGCACATGTCAATATTTGCCCAAGAATACAGATAAACTTATCGTCCGCCATCTTAATGTGCTTATAATCGCTTACAATTGCCAAAACAAACCGTATTCTTTATTGTCGTGTAAGCGCTCAAATATCAAACCGAACGGTTGAAAACAACGCTTATAAGCATGAGCGCTTACAGCGCGTGGGCGCCCAAACCGAACGCAGCCTAAATGAAAACAAAACCATGACGTCATATTTATCAAGAATGAAGATTTGCAACGATTATCTACACGCAGCTGGATGCGACGTAAAGGATGAAGATTTAGCATACGCCATGCTCACAGGACTACCAGAATCGTACGATGCGCTAACAATGTCTCTGGCGAACTTAGAAGAAGCTAAATTTACTTCACACGAAATCAAGAAGGCATTACTGATGGAATACGATAGAAGGATGTCGAAAAATGAAAATCAAGACACCAAATCAGAGGTTACCGCGTACCAGGCTAGTAGCAAACAAAATACATCTAAAAATAATACGCCTTAAAAATGCTTTAAATGTGGAAAACCCGGACATTTCGCAAAACAATGCAGAAGTAAGGTCTCGAATACGAAAGACAATTCCAAAATACACAAAAAGGATTCAGTAGCCTTGTTAATGGCACTGCATCACGTCAAGTTAAATGATGCTTGGTTATTGGATAGTGCGGCGACGTTTACACCACGTATGTAAACACAAAGAATGGCTGAGGAACTTTAAAGCCACGGCACCTCAAGCAATTGATACAGCGGATGCATCATCAAATACGGACGAAGCACCACTCACAGCGGAAGGAGTCGGTGAAGTCGTATTAAACACCAAGATTGGTTACAAAGAATATGATATAATTCTAAATAATGTATATTATGTACCCGGTTGTAGACGAAATTTAATATCGATCGCGCAAATTGAAAAAAAGAATAAAATAATCAAATTTGAAAATGGAATAGCCAAACTAATAGATCAGTACTCAGGTAAAATATATGTAAAAACTCGTCAAATTGATAATTTATATATTATACAAGCCGATGTCATACATCCGGATAATGGCGAAGCAATTAAACTACATACACTAAAGTTAGATAAGCAAAATATATGGCATGGAAGATTTTGCCATATCAATAATCAAAGCATAGAGGCATTAGCTAGAAAAAGATTTGTAAGAGGACTTGAAGATAACAAAATAAACCCAGAAAAATGCTCAGGATGTTGCATAGGAAAATCAACTAAAGCTCCATGCAAAGGGATATCCGAAAAGCAATCCAGTCAAATCCTAGAATTAACACTCAGACATATGTGGCCCAATGCCAGTGGAGTCAATAGGAGGAGCAAGATATTTTATGACTCTGGTAGATGATTACTCAAGGAAAGTACAGGTACACTTCTTGAAAAGCAAAAATAAAGCTGTACAAATTATTCAACGTTACATTACTAAAACAAAGAGAGAAAGGATTGAAAATCAAGAGATTACATACCGATAATGGATTAGAATACTGTAACAAAGAATTAAGGGAATTGTTCAACAAAATAGGAATTAAACATGAGAGAACATGCGTGGAAACACCTCAGATGAACGGAGTGGCAGAACGAATCAATCGTACACTGATGGATATGGTGAGATCAATGCTGTCATCTTCGAAATTACCCACATCTTTTTGGGCTGAAGCCACTAGTGCTGCGGCTTATTCAAAAAATCGCATGGTTCACAGTAGTTTGGAAGATGGTGTCCCAGAAGGCATCTGGACAGGAAAATTACCCAGCGTTAAACACTTAAAAGTATATGGATGTTTGGCCTACGCTCACTTACCAGCACAAGGTAGAAAGAAGATACTAGACCCACGTGCGACAAAATGCATCCTAATCGGATATTCAAGCCAGACAAAAGGATACAGGTTATAGGATCCAAAGAAAAAACAAATAATCCAAACAAAACACGTACAATTTGATGAGACAAAAATTGGACACGAAGCAATACTTAGAAGCAATAATCACGTCCGTTTTGAGTTTTTAGAACCATCACATTTAGAAACAAATAAAGAAGTTCGAATAGAATCACCAACAAGGAAAGAACAACCAATTTCGCAAATAACACTGGATGACGATGATAGCGATACATACGACAGCGATAATGAAGAATCACAGGAATCCACAGAATCGAGGATAGTGGGGGAGACGGAAGATCCAAGACCTAAAAGCCGAGGAAGACCCAAGAAGAAACCACCAAGAAATCCGTATGGTTGCAAAGGCAAACCCAAAACAAACATAGAAATCAATCTCACTGAGATTGCAGAACCAAGGAGTTTGAAGGAAGCATTGGAATCACCGCAATCAAATGAATGGATACAAGGAATTAACGAGGAAATCGAGAACTTGGAACGACTCAAGACATGGATTCCAGAACTATCCAAACCAAAAAATTATATTGGAAGTAAATGGGTATTCAAACTAAAACGCGATGCCAACGGAAAAATTATGCGATATAAGGCGAGATTAGTCGCTCAGGGCTTCAACCAACGAGAAGACATAGATTACAATCTGACTTATGCACCGGTTGTCAGTTTTTTCGTGGTAAGATTATTGCTCGCTTTGAGCGTTACATTCGGATGGGTTACTCGACACATAGATGTGAAGAGTGCCTATCTAAACGGGCATCTAGAAGAAGAGATATATATGAAGTTACCCTCGTTTCAAGATAACGAAGAGAAAGAATCGTAAAATTGTTGCGACCAATTTATGGTTTGAAGCAAAGCGGAAGAAATTGGAACGATGCTCTAGATAATTTTCTAACACGAAAGGGTTTCGAACGATTACGATCATCAAATTGCCTATACCAACAAGGTTTTTGCACATATTTAGTCGTTTATATTGATGACATTTTGATTTTTTCCAAGTACAAAGAAAAGGCTATTGAAATAGTACAAATAATCAGACGAGAATATGAGATTAGAGATCTAGGAGAGGTTTCTTACTTTCTTGGAGTTGGAGTTGAACGGAATTCAAACAGAGTTTCACTTAACCAAAGATCATACATAAAATCTATAATACGGCGTTTTGGCATGGAAGAATGTCGACCGGCAAATACACCTTTGGAACCAGGAATACAACTAACCAAAGATGATTCACCCGAGAACGAACAAGAAAAAAAGAAAATGAAGAACGTTCCATATAGTGAATTAATCGGTTGT